AGGCTCCTCCAAATTTGTCGACGAATGTTCTGCTACCGATCCAAGTGTAGGATCGAACCTGCGTAGTCCACACGAAGACAATCTCAAAAAGAACCAAAGAGGGATTTGCTAGATCCTCTTTGGCTTCAAGATTAAGAAGAAAGCAAATTAATTGAATTGATTTTAGGCAAAAGATGTTTCTGCCATGGGAGTGTTTTGGAGTGGCTGCTGTGTGTTTTAATTTCAAGAAGCAATCAATTAATTAATCAATTAACACACATACTTTTCTTTTTATAGTTAATCAATTTGCCCTAATCCCATACGTAATAGGCTTAGGCTCCAACCCAAACGCCCCATGTTGCCAAACACTCCCAATTTAATATTTTATTTTTCCATCATTATCTCAATTAAAATCAATTAATATATATATGTATATTTAACAATAATGATAATATATATTTAAATATGTGCGAACACACATTTAAACGTAATTTCACTTATTTAATTTTTCTAACAAATTAAATAAAGGCTACGACCTCAGCAAATTTAATTGCACTGTGAAATTATCAAAATACCCTTTCACCTTAAAAGACAAAAATGCCCTTCTTTCTTCTTGGATCTTAAATTGTCTTCTATGTGTGTGACCCATAGGCTCCTCATCATATTGGTAGTGTATAGTATCGCGATTAACACCAATTAATCGTCTCACTAATACACAGACCAAGATTGGACCCTAGCAAGGCATCATGGCCACCCGATAGATTCGGATTTAGCAAAATAGCTACCTGTCAATGATATGGTTACCGTGCAATTCGATCCTTTCATCATATGTTATCTCGACGAGACGAAGGCATAGAAATAGTGTCAACCTTCGGTTACTCTCGATATTATGTATTTAGTTTCTGGACCAATAACCCATATTGTAAACTGGATAGAGTAACAACTCAATCCCACTGTGGCCACAGTTTTAACGTCATTGCCATATACTGAATTGCACCATGAGATAACTTCTCTGGTACCCGGGAGTGATGAATCCTTTGTCAATCCACCATAGTCTTGATAAACTCTTTGATGCAGCCAATCACCACCGTATTGACAGGTCTGAAAAGAACTGCATTAGGCTAGTGTCAAACTACACCAATCGGTGCACAAGGCGCTTCGATGATCTCAAGTCTAAGGATCACATGCACCACTATTCGTTAGAGGATTTGTTCCATAGACACTGGGGTTACCATCCATATAAAATCATCTGGTGGGTCAGTCCAGTGAACTTACTACAGTGTAATCGCCTATAGCAAGCGCCCATGTGTTGTACCAGGTTGTCACCAAACAACCTTGACAAGTGAGATCAGTCACTGCCTTTCAACAAGGTCATTCAACACTATGATATCCTTACCGTATTATATGTGTCTTTACTTCAGAATAATACTGGGGCTACGGACGTTTCTAGAATGGCCACCATATGTGCTCATAGGGTTCTCACTATCAAGATTTGAAATACTTGATACCCTCGTCATGGTTCTACCATTCTAAGGACATAAATCAATACATATTGCAATAATAATGATTTACGCGATATAGAATAAAATGCCTTTTATTGATTAATGAACATTATTACAAAGAGTCAATTCTACAATAATTGATTGGCTCTAGGGCATCTACTCTAACATTGTGTGTTCCTCTCTAATTTGATCTCTCTCCCCCTTTTAAGAATGTCCAATTCAAGTATTTGAATTCTACTTAATCTCCTAAAAATATTCTAATATCCTAAAATAACATTTATCCTAATCTAATTTTGATTAATTGAAAATAAAATAAAGTCCTAGAATAAAATAGGAAAGTGGTGTGTCTAGCTTTAACTTGCATGCAGTAGGTCTTCAAATCTTCCAATAATAAACAACCTAATTGACTTGCATGATAGGGCAGAATGTTCTAGAACGTCAGCAGTGCTGGTGCATCAAATTCAAGCCTGATTACAACCTTGATGCAGCGAGTATCTCTCCAAAATCTAAACATGAAACTTGTAGATCTCTTTCTTAGGGTTCCGCAGCATTTTGGATCATCTCAGTCGGAGTTTGGATGAGAGAGATATGCCCAGATTACAAAGCGATGTCAAAACTGTCCAAATTCAGTTAATTAGTTCCGTTTTGCATTTAACACTTCCATTTGCATCCTAAATCAAAATGGAATAATAATAAGTACATTTAGGCAACAAATAAGTATAAAAGACTAGACATTAAGGGGGGTAAATATGACATTTTGCATTCTCATCAAATTCCCCCACACTTAGCTTTTTGCACGTCCTCGGGCAAACTAATTCAAACAAACACTACACTCAAGTCATATCAAGAACACCATTATCTCAAGTCATATCAAGAACACCATCATGATGCATAAGCAACAATATTTAATCTATGCATATTCATACCTAACTTAGGTAGCAACAAAATAAAATAAAGTAAAGTTAATGACATTCATCTCTCTTTATTGTTTTCCACAATTACTCTCAATCAGTCAATGCAAACAAGGAGACTAATCACAACCAATTCATGTACAACTCACCTCTCAACTTTTTCCTCAATTGTTTCTCTTTACTACTACAAACTAGGCAGCAAACTAGGGATATTATTATTATTATTATTATTTTTTTTTTTTTTCTGTTTTGAAAAAGAATGAGTGCATTTTATGCTCCATCTCATTTCATGGTTGTGTTTATGAGTGAGTGTGTTTTACGCTCCATCTCAACTCACCACATACCTTTCTTTTCTTTTTCCTATTTGCTTAAACCTAAATTTTTTTAAGAGAAACAATTTTTTTTTTTTTTTTTAAGGGTTGTTATACACTCCTCAATCATGCTTTGTCACCAAGTTCACACAACTTATCAAGACATATTGTTTCAAACTACAAATATTACTAAAAAGATTCAAATCTGATTAACTCTATTTTATGAAATATTGCTAACATCCTAAGTCAAGGAATATGCTCAATAACAAAGTCAAGTTACTATTTCATGCATCACTAGAAGTTCAAAGACATGATTTAAAGCGTAAACCTTCCTAAAAACAAAAAACTATTTGTTTTTTTTTTTTTTGAAAAAAACAAATTAAAACAAAACCTAAATCCCAAAAAACTATTATAGTGTTGAAGGACCCTGTCTAAAAGTAGTGACTGATCTCACTTGTCAAGGTTGTTTGGTGACAACTTGGTGCAACACATGGGTGCTTGCTATAGGCGAATACACTGTAGCAAGTTCACTAGACTGACCCATCAGAGGATTCCATATGGATGGTAACCCCAGTCTATGGAACAAATCCTCTAACGAATAGTGGTGCATGTGATCCTTAGACTTGAGATCCGGAGCGCCTTGTGCACCGATTGGTGCAGTTTGACACTAGCCTAACACAGTTCTTTTCAGAGCTGTCAATACGATAGTGATTGGCTGCATCAAGAAGTGTATCAAGAGTATGTTGGATTGACAGAGGATTCATGACTCCCAGGTATGGGAGAAGTTTTCTCACGATGCAATTAAGTATATGGCAATGACACTAAAACTGTGGCCACAGTGGGATTGAGTTGTTGCTCTATCTAGTTTATAATATAGGTCATTAGTCCAGAAACTGAATACATAATATCGAGAGTAACCAAAGGTTGACACCATTTCTATGCCTTCGTCTTGTCGAGATAACGGATGATGAAAGGATCCAATTGTACGATAACCATATCATTGACAGGTAGCTACTTTGTTGAATCCAAATCTATCGGGTGGCCATGATGCCTTACTAGGGCCAATCTTCGTCTATGTATTAGTGAGACGATTAATTGATGTTAATCGCAATACTATACACTACCGGTATGATGAGGAGCTTATGGGTCACACACATAGAAGATAATTTAAGACTCAGGAAGAAAGAAGGGTGTTTTCATCTTTCTGGGTGAAAAGGCGTTTTTGTAATTTCACAGTACAATTAAATTTGCTGAGTTCATAGCATTTTATTTAATTTATTCGAAAATTTAAATAAGTGAAATTACGTTTGAATATGTGCTCGCATATATTTAAATAAATTATCATTATTGTTAAATGTTAATATATATATTAAATATATATTAATTGATTTTAATTGAGGTGATGATGAAATAAAATAAATATGTAATTGGGAGTGCTTGGTAACATGGGGTGTTTGGGTTGGAGCCCAAACCTATTCCATATGGGAATAGGGCATTAAAGTATCACTATAAAAGAAAATGTTTCTTTGTAAAATGTGAGATTTTTATTGGTTATTTATCTTTGAAAAGGCACAAACACAATAGCCCCCTAAACTAGAATTTTTTTGAAGTAGTTTTGCTCTCAACTTGTGGTCACTGTCGGAACTTTGCCGTCTTCTTTTGGGTGCATCCGGCATTGGAATCTGGCGATCCACCCATCGTTGGAAAGCTCGTTCAATGTTCTTTCTCGTCATTTCATCACTGCCTCCGTTTAGGGTTCTGGTTGTCAGAATTTGGCTGTTGAAATTGGGTTTAGGGTTTAGGGTTTGGGGTTTGGGGTTTAGGGTTTGGGGTTTAGGGTTTTTAGGGTTTAGGGTTTTTAGGGTTTAATGTTTCAGGTTTAGGGTTTCAGGTTTAAGGTTTAGGGTTTGGGGTTTAGGGGCTCGGGCTTAGTGGGCAACAGCCCAAGGAAATTTGGATTGGGACCTCTTTTCTACTGAGTATATCTCGGAGGAGAGGAACCTTGCCAACCAGTATTTCAGTCTTTGTCGAGATGAGGAGGCTTTCTTTAAGCTGCAGTCTCGTGTTCAGTGGCTGAACTTAGGGGATTAGAATACTAAGTTCTTTCATAAGTGGCTGATCCATAGGCAGGTTCAAAACCGCATCCATGGTTTGACTGATGGGAATGGTACCCATATTACTAACAGTCAGGGTTTAGGGCGTTTGGCGGTGGGTTTTTTTCAGGATCTTCTTACTGCTCCTAGTCAACTTAGATTGCACAGGCCTCCAGGTATTTTTCTGGATGTATTTCTCCTGATATGATTTCTCCCTTGACTGTTCCTATCACTGATGATGAGATTAGGATTGCTTTATTCTCTATCCTGGATGATAAAGCCACGGGCTCGGATGGATTCACATCTTTGTTTTTTAAGCGGGCATGGGATATAATTGATACAGATTTCAGAGATGCAATGAGACATTTTTTTGCTACTAATGAAATGCCAAAATGTGTTAATGCTACAAGGATTGCTTTGGTCCCTAAGGTGGAGAGCTCGAGTCGTATGATGGACTTTAGGCCGATATCTTGTTGTAATGTACTTTACAAGTGCATTTCTCAGGTGATTGTGAATCGGTTTAAAGTAGTGTTTTCAGATATTATTGGGGTTTCCCAGTAAGCTTTTGTCCCGGGTCGAAGGATTTCTGATAATATTCTGCTGACTTAGGAGCTCTTGCAGAATTATCATCTTGGGGGTACTTCACCTCGATGTGCCCTTAAAGTTGATATTTGGAAAGCTTTTGATACTGTTAGTTGGGATTTCATCCTTTTGGGATTGTGTACTGTGGGTTTTCCTGAGCGTATGGTGAGGTGGATCATGACATGTATCTGTACACCGTATTTCTCTGTTGCCCTGAACGAAGAGCTTCACGGTTTTTTTAGGTCCTCCCGGGGTGTTCAGCAGGGAGACCCTCTTTCTCCTTACCTTTTTGTGTTGGCTATGGAGGGGTTAGCTGGTATTTTTCTGGAAACCTCTCACAGCCCTGGTTTTCATTATCATTGGATATGTAGGTGGGCAGCTATTACTCATTTGTGTTTTGCGGATGATTTGATGGTGTTATATAGAGCAGATACTTCCTTTGTTAGGTTGATCAAATCAGCCTTGGATTATTTTGCTACAGTTCTGGATTAGTGACTAATGTAGAGAACAGCTAGTTGTTTCTTTCTGGAGTTATAGATGAGGAGCAGATTAGGTTACAGTCTATCATAGGTTTCCAGTTGGGCTAGTTATCGATAAGATATCTAGGGGTTCCTCTAATCTCTAGCCACCTTCGACATTCTGATTGTAAGCCTCTGTTAGAGCGAATTCTCTCTCGGATTAGGTTGTGGACGTCGACAAATTTAACCTATATTGATAAAGTTGGTACTTTTCTCTATATAGGTTTATTGGTCATCTATGTTTCTTTTGCCAGTAGCTACCATTAGACAGATTGAGAGTAATTTGGCCTCGTTTCTTTTGGAAGGGTACTTCTTTGTCCCCTTCTGGTGCCAAGGTTGCATGGTCTTCTATTTGCTATCCATTAGCGGAGGGTGGCCTGGGATTAAGAGGATCGAAGATTGGAATAGGGCAGCCATTCTTAAGTACGTTTGGAGACTACTTACTGATAGATCTTCTATATGGTCTTCTTGGGCCCGTTTGGTTCTTCTCCGGGGTCGGTCCTTTTGGCATATCCGAGTTACTTTTGGGGCTTCATGGGCTTGGAGGAAGATTTTACTTAGCAGGGTTTTGTGCCAGGGTCTTATTGTGACTTGTATTGAAGATGGTAGGGACACCATGTTATGGCAAGATCACTGGCTTCTGTAGGGTCCTCTATGTGACTTGCTTCCTTTTAGAACCTTGGCTTCCACTAGTTTGCCACAGGATGCTCGGGTTTCAAACATTATTCGGGATGGTTTGTGGGGCTTTCCTTCGGGCAGTGTAGAGCTTCAGTATATCTGGGACTCCATTACAATGCAGCCTTTAGCGAGTCATCCTCACCATCTTGTGTGGAAGGGCCATCCATCTGGACGTTTCTCTATTGACTTAGCCTGGAATGTGTTGGAAGACAAACGGGATGTGAACTTGATTCATCATCTCTTATGGCTTCCCGGGCATATTCCACGTCACTCTTTCATTCTCTAGCTTGCTTCTCTTGGTCGGCTTCACACTATGGACCGGCTCAGCTCTCATGGTGTCATTATGTCCTTGCGGTGTGTTATCTGTAGATCAGCTTCAGAGACCCATGACCATTTGTTTTTCAGTTGTGACTTCTCCAGTTATGTTTGGCAGGAGGTCACTACCTGGACACTGTCTACATGGCCTACTCTCTCCTGGTTCCCTCTGTTCCAGTGGGCTAGCTTGCATCTTCGACGAAAAGGTGACTTCAGCCACCTTCTTTCCTGGTTGGTACTTTTAGCCACAGTTTATTTCCTATGGTTTGAACGGAATAATAGCGTGTTTCGTCGGCATTGTAGCTCTCGCAGAGATATTGTCTTAGCTATTTCTGATCTAGTTTGGGCCAAGATTTTGGCTCTAGCACCTAAGTACGAGATGTTGACTCAACTCCATGCAATATGGCATCTTCCTGATTAGCTTTGTAAGGAGCCTGTGTGCTCTTTTGTGTTGGTTTGTAGCTTTGTTATTTATGGCATCTTCTTGCTTTGTGGGGAGCCTACGTGCTCTTTTTATGCTATTCGTGACTTTGTGGGTTTTCCCATGTGTTTTTTTGATTGAGAGTTATCAGTCATCCTCTTGGGGTATGCCCCTCATATTTGTACATTTTTGGTCTCTTTTATAAATACTTACCTTTTCCAAAAAAAAAAAAAAAAAAAAGTTTATGGTTTAGGGTTTAGGGGTTTAGGGTTAGGGTTTAGGGTTTAGGGTTTTTCTAAGTGTTTTGCTCTCAACTCATTCTCACTGCCAGAAGTTCGTTGGCTTGTTTTGGGTGCATCTAGTGTCAGAATCAGACGATCCACCCACCTTTGGAAAGAGTTTTCAATGAACTTTCTAGTCGTTTCATCACTGCTAGTATTCACTAGGTATTTCGCTGGGATTTGGCTGTGAAATTTCATGAAATCTGCAGATCTGTTCGTTCTTGCTGCTTGAACTTTGGCTGCTTATTCCGAGCGTGTTCGGTGTCAGAATTAAATGATCCACCCACCGTTGGAAAGAGTATTGAATAGGCTATCTGGTCATTTCATCACTGCATTGGTAGTTGCTTCTATCATTGGGAGGTTTCCTTGAAAGTTCATAGAATCTGCAGATCTGGAATTACTTTTGCAGTGGGTTTTTCAATCGAGAATTGTAATGGAGTGCCAAGATTGACTCTTCTGTGTAGGCTCAGCAATCCCCACACTTGTTTGCACCTTCTTGACTTCTGGTTTCCTGAAAAAACTCACTGTTTTTCCTGGGAATGTGCAGTTTAGGTTGGGTTTTCATGCCCATTTCGTGGACTTGTTTTGGTGTGTTTTTGGATTGATTTTCTGCAATTTTTTTTGTGGTTTCTTGCTGGGTTTTGATTGTTCCAGATTCCTAGAAAACATGGTTGCATTTGGTGGGGTTTTGGATGCGTTTATTGTGCACGAAAATTGTTCGATAAAAGTCCACTGCAGGCCTTGAACGCAAGCCTAGCGCGCGCGCCCATAGCGCCCCAGTGCCCAGCCTTCCCCTCTTTGGCCCTCCCAACCACATTCCCCTTTCCAACACCAAAACCTCTTCACCCCAACCATTTTTTCACAAATCCCTGCTATTTCAAACTTTCAAACTCACCAAAATCACACTTTTTTTTCCTGCCAACAAGTGTTTGACAAAATGTCCGAACCAAACCCCTCACTCCCAAATTACACCGTGCCGCCCCCAACCCAAGCCAAAACATTAAACACTACCTCCACTAGCTCCTAGCAGCCACAAAATTTCGGGAATTTAGGGAAATCTTTATGGATTGGTGATTTGGAGCCATGGATTGGTGATTTGGAGCCATGGATGGATGACAAGTATTTGTTATCCGTTTTCTCAAAGGTGGCGATTCAAGGAGCCAAAGTTTTTCATCACAAAAACTTTTCCTTTGGTTTTCTTGAGTTTGAATCTAATGATATTGCATGCCGAAGTCCCCGAAGCTTTTCAAGCTTAATTGGGTGTCTTCTAGGGCCCGTGAAAAAAAGCCAGTCCCTAAGCCAGTTGTAGATAAGAAAAGTATAGGCAAGAGCACCTCAGGAGTTTCCTCTTCTTGGGCAGATAAGGTTAGAGTGACAGAGGTCGGATCACATTTCACTATTGAATCTGTGGACCTTGATATTAAGGATGACATCTTACTTATACCGGATGATGTTATTGATGACAATGATGTTGAATGGCTTCGCTGTATTGTGGGTTATTTCTTGGGGTACTCTATGCCTTTTCATGCTGTCTACTCAATTGCTTTTCGTGCATGGGAAGCTGTTGGGTTGGAAGATGTTATGTCCACAGACATTGGTTTCTACATGTTCAGATTTAGGGATAAGGATGCGGTGCATTCGATCCTTGAGAGAGGGCCGTGGATGTTTGGGGGTAAGTATATTATTCTACAACAATGGCATGCTTAGTTTATTTTTGATAAAAGCCTTATCTCTAAGGTTCTGGTATGGGCTCATTTGCATGGTTTGCCTTATCCTTTGTGGTCCCACAAAGCACTCTGCATGGTTTCTTCTATGTTGGGTCGACCATTGTCTAGTGATAAGACAACATCATAGCGGACCTATTTAGATTATGCTTGGGTATGTGTTGAGCTAGATGCAACAAAGCCTCTAAGATGTCATTTTGAATTTTAATGCCAGTTATCTGCAGAACCTATTCAGATTACAGTGGAATATGAACAGACCCCCAAGAGGTGCCTTAAGTACTGTGTTTTTGGTCATGTTTTTCACCAACCAGAGGTACCTACTGTGGCTATAGCTCAGGGTAAGAATAAGATAGTTACTAGTGTCCAGAAGGCACTAGGGAAAGCTGTTGCAGGGCAATCTGAGAACTAGAGCTTTTAAGGTAGTCAGCCACTATTGATCCTATTAGGGAGAGGGAGTGGGGGATGGAGAGGGATGTTTCAGTGCCATCTACAGTTTCAGTTCCGAGTATAATTAGAGTTAGGGATGCTTCTTTGGTTTTGGTCCCGTATCAGTAGACTATTCATGCTAGCAGAGGTGAATTTTTTGGCTTTGAATCGGGGTCGGAACCTGATTCACCTTTTCCTATTGAGGATGAGCAGGACTGTATTATGGGATTTACAAATTGCACAGAAAACACTCAGTCCTTTATGAGTTCTAGGAGTAGGCAATCTACTTCTTCCAATAGGTTTGCCTCGCTTGTTCTGCATAGTGACGATCTCCAAACACCAGATGCCACCTTACATGGATCAGTTTCCTTGCCACCCTTGGCAGAGGGGATAGGTCGGGGAAAGCGGGAGCTTTGGCTCAAGTGATTTTTTAGCTTGTTTATATCCCAATTCCAATTATAGGGAGTTGGAATATTAGAGGCCTTAATGGCTTCTCGAAACAACGCGCCGTGCAGAATTGGATTTCTGACTCCTCTTTGGGTTTGATTGGTTTGTTGGAGACTAAGGTTGAGCAGTCTCATTTACAGTCGGTGGTCTCGTCAGTTTGTCCTTCGTGAAAGTTTTTGTCAAATGTGACAGATTCTATTGCTTGCCGTGTGCTGGTATGTTGGGATTCTTCTCGTTACTTTGTGAATAGTCTTCATTGCTCTCTTCAGGAGATTACTTGCAGGGTTACTCATGTTTCTGAGGGGTTCTCATTTGGGATTACTTTTGTGTATGGTTCTAATGATCCTGGGAATCACCGCAATCTGTGGGATTTCCTTAGGGATCAGTCAACAGTGTTTGGTTCAGAGGGGCTCCCGTGGCTTGTGTTGGGTGATTTTAATGCCATCTTAGGAGCCTCTGACAGAGTGGGTGGTGATCTTGCGTGGTATGGTTATATGGATGATTTTGGCCAATGTATCCATGATGTTGAGCTGATTGGGGTTCCTTTTACTAGGCTTCGGTATACTTGGCATAACGGTCAATAGGGCAATGGGATTATTTTGCGAAAGCTCGATTGGGTCTTTGCATCACTTTCTTGGTTCCTTGATCGACCGAACACAGTTTCATAGTTTCGACCTCAAGATGTTTTAGATCATAGCTCTATTGTTGTCCGGTTTGGTCCCCGTCGTAGCAAGGTACAAACCCCTTTTAAATTTCTAAATTTTTGGGTTGATCATGCAAATTTTAGGGATATTGTTCAGGCAGTTTGGGATGAGCCTATTGTAGGCAATCTTATGTTTCATCTTACACAGAAATTGGGGTTAGTGAAATGGAAGCTCAAAGCTTTGCATATTAGGGTTTCTAGTTATATCTCCAATAGGGTAATTGAGGCTCGGGCTCAGTAGGCAATAGCTCAAGGAATTTAGATCAGGACCCCTTTTCTACTAAGTGTATCTCTGAGGAGAGGAACCTTGCCAACCAGTATTTCAGTCTTTGTTGAGATGAGGAGGCTTCCTTTAAGCAGCGGTCTCATGTTCAGTGGCTAAACTTAGGGGATCAGAATACTGAGTTCTTTCATAAGTCGCTGATCCATAGGCAGGTTCGGAACCGTATCCATAGTTTGGTTGATGGGAATGGTACCTATATTACTGACAGTCAGGATTTAGGTCATTTGGCAGTGGGTTTTTTAAAGGATCTTCATGTTGCCCATAGTCAACATCAGATTGCAGCGGCTTCCAGGTATTTTTCTGGATGTATTTCTCCTGATATGATTTCTCCCTTGACTGCTCCTATAACTGATGGTGAGATTAGGGTTGCTTTATTCTCTATCCCGATTGATAAAGCCCCGGGCCCGGATGGATTCACATCTTTGTGTTTTAAGAGGGCATGGGATATTATTGGTGCAGATTTCAGAGATGCAGTGAGACATTTTTTTGCTACTAATGAAATGCCAAGATGTGTTAATGCCACCAGGATTGCTTTGGTTCCTAAGGTGGAGAGCCCGAGTCGTATGACGGACTTTAGGCCGATATCTTATTGTAATGTACTTTACAAGTGCATTTTTAAGGGGCTTGTGAATCAGTTTAAAGTAGTGCTTCTGGATATTATTAGGGTTTCCCTATTAGCTTTTGTCCTTGGTTGAAGGATTTTTGATAATATTCTATTGACTGAGGAGCTCTTGCGGAATTATCATCTTGGGGGTACTTCACCTCAATGTGCCCTTAAAGTTGATATTTGGAAAGCTTTTGATACTGTGAGTTGGGATTTCATCCTTTTGGGATTGCGTACTGTGGGTTTTCCTTAGCGTATGGTGAGGTGGATCATGACATGTATCTCCACACTGTATTTCTTTGTTGCCCTGAATGGAGAGCTTCACAGTTTTTTTAGGTCCTCCCAGGGTGTTCAGCAAGGGGACCCTCTTTCTCCTTACCTTTTTGTGCTGGCTAGGGAGGGGTTAGCTGGTATTTTTCGGGAAACCTCTCATAGCCCTGGTTTTCATTATCATTGGAAATGTAAGCGAGCAGCTATTACTCATTTGTATTTTGTGGATGATTTGATGGTGTTTTGTGGAGCAGATGCTTCC